TTGGTCCCCTACCCCCATTTTAGGCATGTTTTTAGGATTCATCATAGCCAACGATTAGGGCAATAACATTGTTTTTTAAATCGGCTGCTGGTGCTAGCTCGACAGAAATGTCACGTGTGTCGAACCACTAATTAACGGAATAAAATCACGTTGTATGCAAGCTTGTCACGTGTTTGTGTGCGTTTCACGAGTGTTTGTGTTTTTCGGTAACGGCGTTTGAAACTCAGTGGATTGCCACGAGCAACAGACATAACAGACAAAGACAGCAGATGACAGAACACACAACAGATAGCCTTAATAGCTGGCCTGCAATGCAATGCATTCTTTATCCTACTTCCTGTCTTTCCCAAGTTCTCTTTCTTTCTTTCATTCTTTTCTTTCTTTCTTTCTATTTATTGTCGACGGAATTAATTCTTTCAATTCATGCGACTTTTTCCGCAAGGAAACCGACGTTATGAGCGACCACGTGCAAAGCGTCTTACATATAGCTATAATATTATAATTTGGTATCAACAAAGACATCTAATGTTACAATATCACTCATAAATATCAAAGTAGGCTATCTAAGTAATCTAATGTAAGCCAAAACAATTTAAGTAACATCTGTACTAATCAATTAAAGCTGTGCATAACTCATATCATAAATCTGACTGCTTTACAATTTACAGGCTCGCTAGACGTATAGTTATAATATTTTATTCTCCAGTTGCTGACGGTTCTGCGATTTGATTTTTTAATTAACCATAATCATATGTTCATCATATACTTCATATACTTCATATATTCATCACCATTGTTCTCAGTACATAAAAACTAGTCGGTGGGGGCTGGTAAGGTGAGGGGTTAATAACAGAACTTCTTTCTGAATGCATGAGAGTGCGCCAATTTAGGCCCAACTTCTAAAAAACTTCCAAACTATTCCAGCTACTTTTGCAGATCACTTTAAAAAGTCACAAAATTCTCACCCCAACACACGCGCGGGCGCACGCACGCACGCACGCACGCACGCACACACACACACACACACACACACACACACACACACACACACACACTCGCTTGCTCGCTCATTCATCGCTCACGCAGGCACACACGCACGCATGCGCATTACGTACGTACTCATTTGCCTATAGGTGGTGTACAACAGTAGAAAGCGTCCATAGGCAGCAGGGTTGAATAAGCACCGAACAAAAATTAAATACCCACAATGTTTCGTCGCATACACAACATACACTTTATTCATGTTAAATAACCACAGATTCAAGCTCTATACTCGGCTCGAAACTTTTGTTAGCTAAATGATGCGCATTTATACAAAGTAGTCGGATCCCGTTTTAAACACAAAAATGGACGGCCAGTCACCATGAATACGCCACTTGACGGAATGGCACAATTACACGACAAGACAAATCTTACTACTAATGCCTTCTAGTCGTCCACGACGCATCTAACCTGCTTGCATAATGCAAATTAGTACATGCAAAAGAATGCCTTTCCAGAGACGAAACAGTGCAAACCAGTGAACAATTTGCGGAAGGTTACCTTTGTATGCCCCTATAGCCATTGATTATTCACGTTTGTTTATATTTCCAGGCGGCGCAGATAATGACGCCGTCATCATGCGTTGCGAATAGACAAGCCGGTCTGCAGCAATGTTTAGATCCTGCGGCAACAGTGACCATATTGACACAGATTCAGAACAAAGTGTCCTACCTTGCGACGGGTGCCGCGGATATCAGTCATAAACAGGACTACATTCTCCATTCTTTGAGCAACAGCCACGGGGCTCATGAGCCCTATAACACTGACACCTATCAAAATGCCGATAAGCTTTACTCTCTTCCCAATCAAGGAGCTAGCCAGTATCAATATGGAAGTTATCAAAACATTAACTTAGGTGTAACTGGAAAAAATGACGTACGATATCAAAACATTAATCCAGGTGTACGTGGAAATAACGGCAGATGGCAGGGTAGAGATGGATTGGTGGATGGGTGAGTGGGTGTGTGAGTAAGTACAGGTGTGAGACTGAAACTGATGAGGTGCCACCCCGAGAGCGAAGCTGTGAATAAATAATGTAGTCGACATAAATACGATGATCCGTCGTGCCTTAATTGGTTCTCCACGTATTCCTGCCCACTCTCATTACTGGTTACATCTACTCTTACTCCTGCAGCTTTTGTTGAGGTACTGGCTTTTTTTCTTATTCCCTGCCGAATACACTGTAGTGGCTCTGACACTTACGTAAAATGATGAGGGACAACATGATAGAAAGGATGATAACTTGAGGATTAAGCGAGTGATAAGCACACGGGTCTTTTGCCTACTTACACGAGTACTTACTCTCTCCTCTTTCCCTGCTCCTCTTCCTCCTCCTCTTCCTCTTCCTCCTCCACATCCTCTTCATCCTCCTGTTTCTCCCTCTCCTGATCTTCCTCCACATCCTCTTCCTCTTCCTCCTCCACATCCTCCTCCTGTTTCGCCTCCTTTTCCTCCACATCCTCTTCTTCCTCCTCCACATCATCCTCCTCCTCGTCTTCCTCCTCCACATCATCCTCTTCTTCCTCCTCCACATCATCTTCTTCCTCATCCTCCTCCCCTGCTCCCTCCCACGCATTCTCCCTTCCTCACATTTCACGTGTCTGTTCCTCTCCTGCCTAAATCCGTTGCAAGGAATTTGAAATAAAATTCTGTTCGTTCTCAGAAGTTTTCCCACCTTGACTTGTTTTTATGGGAGTTCTTGTTTTCATTCTAAATTTCTTATCAATTATCTTGTGGGCACTTGACTTGCTAATTGACATTTCACCGTGTGCCATTTTTTTGGTTTCGCTTGTTTTAAGTTGTTTCAATTGGGGCATGGGGGGGTATGTGTGTGTACTTGTTGATTTGAATAAAGTTCAAATGTACTTCATCGTTGACATGAGGAGATGTGGTGTGTTTTGACTTGTGGTTCTCGTTTTACTGTTGTCTTGATGAAAAATTTTAGCTGTTCGTAATATCTCAGAGAGTCAGAGAGTGCTTGCTGTTGAAATTATAGAGTTATCTCGCAAAGCTAGATTTAATTTTAGAAAGATGAAAAGTGTATCTCGAAAAAACGAGGCAGTTTAAAGAATCACATGTAATAAGTTTAGCATATATTTATGCGTGTATAAGTCGCACCCCATATTTTGCCTTAAAAAGTTGGTCCAAAACTTTTACAAGCGAAATTCACGTGGAAGATGAGACTAACTCGATCAACCGGCGAATTTGATACGTCGTGATTTCACACTTAATTACAACTCATTGTCCTCTGAGTAAATGAGCAGTTATCTCTGACTGATCAATTAATATTATTACTAATAACTATGAAACCAGTCGGCAAGCTCGAAAGACCAGACCTAGAATAACTGTTTCGGGCCTAGTTTTCATATTACATGGTAATTTATTCAAGATGCAATATGCGCTCGCGTGGTTCGGCATTTGTAATAGCAGATGGTTGCGATAACGATGACATTTCTTGCACAAGATTTCTTAGCCTCTAGTAGCACCCCTGATTGTTTTTATTGAAGTTGTGTGCAAAAAAGTGCGACGTATATACGAGTAAATATGATACTCGTGTTACCCTAGCAACGCGTGAGCACCCGAGTCAAAATGTAACTTTTTTTGTGGCTTGAGAAATTCTCACACTTTATAAACTTTGACTGAAATTTCGACGAGACTCTAGAAAATAGCATTCAGTGCTGCGATGTCATGTCATATCGATTTCTCTCGAAAATTCGTAATCGTTCGGATTTCCATAATTCTCATAAGATTAAGTAGTCAATTCAAGGTTAGCTAAACGACCGATCGAAATTTTTTCCCATTAAAATTCTATCGATTTAACGACTCTGATCGCGAGTACTTGAGGTTGTTATCGTCGAGCTGTATCACCGTAGTCGGAAGCCGTTACTGCATTTAGCGAGAGTAGAAGCTGTGTAGGTAGACGATAGAGGCGGTATAGCTTGCGCGCGCGGCGTGTGTGTCGGTCGTGGCTGTGGAGTGACCACCGGTGGTTCCTGATGACCGCAGTGTCCGGTCTGTCCGTGAGTGAGCGATGGCACGAGGGTCGCGTGCCGCCGCCGGCCCCCTGGACCAGCACCCAGTCGTAGGTACGTGACGTGAGAGAGAGAGACGCGCGCGAGATCCTTGCTAGCGGTTAATCGTTGCGCGATCGCTCGTTCGCGGAGACGGCGCCCCCTGGTGGCCTGCTGCCCCCCGCGCGCGCGGCGGGCTGTTTTCCCCGATCTTGGGACGTGGCGTGCGATTTTGATTTACGGGAGATTTTCGCTCGATTAATGGGTTAAAGTTAGGTTTAGCCATGGTGTGGTGGCAATGGTTGCAAGAACGTCGAAATGTCTCTGTCCTCTTTCGCAAGTACCCCATGGAAAATCTTTCCAATCGAACGTGTAAACGAAACTTGTACGATCATTCGCTGTAAGTCGCGAGGTCGCGCGAAATTTTCTGTAAAATCGCACGCTAGGTCCCCAGGGTTGACGTGGGACCACCCACCCACCGTCCAAATCGACCTGTCCGTCCGAGATGAACACCCTCGCCTCTCGGATATCGCTGCCGGTTCGTTCGAGCTAGGACGGTCCATCGTCTTTCCAACGCGCTGCGGACTCTGCCACACTTCGTCGTTAAGCAGCGTTGTTTAGAACCAAAACGGCGCCACAGATCCGCCAGGCCCACCTCCCCACGTTTTCGACAGCTCCGGGCGGACGGGTCGATCATCATCATTCATTATCGTCTCCGTAAACGAGCGAGGGAGAGAGAGAGGCTAGACGAGGGGGGGAGAGATACGCGGCGCGCGCGCGAGCGAGCGCGTGCGGCGTGCGTGTGAGCGCGTGACAGTTCCGCACCATCTTCTCTGTCCGCAGGTTCCGTGGGGAAGCCCCACGGCTCCTTGTCCTCCTCTGCAGCATCGCGGCTCGCCGACCAGCAGGGATACATCCCGGACAAGGTGAAGAAGGCGGATGCGCGCCTCGACGACAACCCGTACGACACGGACGCGTGGAACGTGCTGATCCGCGACGCTCAGACGAAGCCGATCGTCGAGGCGCGCGTCACGATGGAGCGCTGCGTCGAGCGCTTCCCCAACGCCGGCCGCTACTGGCGGCAGTACATCGACGCCGAGCTGCGGCAGCGCAACTTTGAGAAGGTGGAGAAGCTGTTCCAGCGCTGCCTCCTCAAGGTGCTCAACATCGACCTGTGGCGCGCGTACCTCAACTACGTCAAGGACACGAAGGGCTCGCTGCCGTCCTACCGCGAGAAGATGGCGCAGGCGTACGATTTTGCGCTCGATAAGATGGGCATGGATATCATGTCGTATCAGATCTGGGCGGATTACATCACGTTCCTGAAGAACGTGGAGGCGGTGGGGTCGTACGCGGAGAACCAGCGCATCACGGCCGTGCGCAAGATCTACCAGCGCGGCTGCGTCAACCCGATGGTGAACATAGAGCAGCTGTGGAAGGACTACACGGCGTACGAGACGGGCATCAACCCGCTCATCGCGAAGAAGATGGTGGACGACCGCAGCCGCGACTACATGAACGCGCGCCGCGTCTCGAAGGAGTACGAGGCGGTGACGCGCGGCCTCGCGCGCGGCGTCCCGTCCGTGCCGCCGATGGCCGTGCCGGAGGAGGAGCGCCAGGTGGCGCTGTGGAAGAAGTACATCGCGTGGGAGAAGGGCAACCCGCTGCGCTCCGAGGACCACGCCGCGATCACGAAGCGCGTCATGTTCGCGTACGAGCAGTGCCTGCTCTGCCTCGGCCACCACCCGGACATCTGGTACGAGGCGGCGCTCTACCTGGAGCAGTCGAGCAAGCTGCTCGTCGAGAAGGGAGACACGAACGCCGGCAAGCTGTTCAGCGACGAGGCGGCGAACATGTACGAGCGTGCGATCACGACCATGCTGCGCCGCAACCAGCTGCTCTACTTCGCATACGCTGACTTCGAAGAGAGTCGCATGCACTTCCAGAAGGTGCACCAAATCTACCAGAAGATACTCGACATCTCGGACGCCGACCCGTCCCTCGCGTACATCCAGTACATGAAGTTTGCGAGGCGCGCGGAGGGGATCAAGTCGGCACGCGCCATCTTCAAGAAGGCTCGGGAGGACGCTCGCTCGAGCTACCACATCTTCGTCGGAGCCGCGCTCATGGAGTACTACTGCAGCAAGGACAAGAACGTCGCGTTCAAGATCTTCGAGCTGGGCGTGAAGCGCTACGCGGACTCGCCAGAGTTCATCCTCTCTTACGTGGAGCACCTGTCGCACCTCAACGAGGACAACAACACGCGCGTGCTCTTCGAACGCGTGCTCACGTCGGGCGGGCTCCGCGACGAGAACTCGCTCGAGATCTGGAACGAGTTTCTCCGCTTCGAGACGGACGTCGGCGACCTCGCGAGCATCCTGAAGGTCGAGCGGCGGAGGAACGCCGTCATCGAGAGGCTGAGCGCGCTCGAGGGCAAGGAGACGGCGCTGCTCGTCGACCGATACAAGTTCCTCGACCTGTACCCGTGCACCGGCGGGGAGCTGCGCGCGATCGGATACCGCGAGCTGTCTCGCCCGCGCCCGCATGCGGCGGCGACCACGGCATCGACCCCTGCGACGGCGGCAGGTGGCGCTGGCGAGGACGACGACGGCGGGCGGGCGCGTCCGGAGTACCCGCGGCCGAACCTGGAGCAGATGATCCCGTTCAAGCCTCGCGTCATCGCCCCGCCGGGAGCGCACCCGGTCCCCGGGGGCGTGTTCCCGGCCCCGCCCGCCGCCGCCCACCTCATGGGGGCGCTGCCGCCGCCCGCGTACTTCCACGGTCCGTTCGTCGCCGTCGATTGCCTCATCGAGAGATTCCGCGCGTGCGATTTGCCGACCGAGCCGCTGATAGGGGGCGCCGACGGAGCTAACGGCCACAACGCGCTGCACGCGGAGTACACGAAGCTGTTTGAGTTTTTCGCGAACACGGGCGCGCTGCCGCAGCCGGAGGGCAGGAAGAGGAAGGCGGGGGCGGGGGCCGGCGGGGAGGGAGACGACGACGACGAGGACGACGCCGCCGCCGCGCCGCCCGTCAACGACCTCTACCGCGCGCGCCAGCAGAAACGCGTGCGATGATTGCGCGTGCGTGGGTGCGTGTGCGTGGGTGCGCGTGAGTGCGTCCGTGTGGTTGCATTGGTGTGCGCGCGTTGCGTGCGTGCGTGTGTACTTACGTTAGTGCGTGTGCGAGCGTTTGTCCATATGGTTGCATTGGTGAGCGTGTGCGTGCGTGCATGCGTGTGCGTGGGTGTCTGCGTGGATACGTGTGCGTGCGTGAGTGCGTGCGTGGAGACGTGCGATAGTTGTTTAGATGCTGGCTTCGTTGAGCAATAAGTTGCTCGACTGAACGAGGCATGGCTTCGTTGAGCATTAAGTTGAACGAGGCAGTCTGTTAAGCGCAGGTCCCAACTTCGTGTTTATTTCCTACAACAATCTCTACAACGATAACATGAACGTGACATAAATACCCAGCATCATGATCCGCTTCACAGAAGGTCAGTGATGATTGAAGAGACGCGGGATGTCACTCCGGGAGAAGGGGAGAAGGGGGGAGGCCGCGGCAACGGGTGTGGGGTTGTGTATAGGGTGGTAGCTGTACGTATAGGAGCGATATAATAGATAACACGAGATCTCCTTGTCTTATGTATTTGTTGTGATGCTAATATACAGTTTTACCTGCAAACCCGTAACTAATTAATTAATTAACTAATTATAAGGCTGTGCGCCGTAGGAAGCTGTGATCGTTGATTTTTCAATGTGACGTTGCTTGTCAATTGCTTTCTCTGCGCATCGTGCGTGGGTGCGTGCGTGCGTGTGTGCGTGCGTGCGTGCGTTCGCATCGTGTCAGCATCGTGCGTGCACGTGTACATAACGTGTGCACCGGGATGTGTGACGTGTGTGTAAACAGCGCAGCGTGCGTGCGTGCCTACGTGTGTGCGTGCGCAGCAATGCTAGCCGTCGGGGGGACGGAGAAGGTTTACACAAGCACCGCAACAGCGACGCCGCCGCTGCCGCCGACGACGACGCTAGCAGCGAAAAAAAACAGGTTTTATCTTTCGGTTAATATAACTGGTCGAAGGTTTAGCCTTGGCGGTTTTTCCTCGCGAAGGTAAGCGAGTTTTGTGGGTCTCACGTGCGGTGGATGCCTCTCTTACCTGTACCTACCTGTTCTCTTACTTGTACCTACCTGTTCTCTTCGACACGCGGCTAAGAAAAAGGGTTCCTGGGTTCGGATGCCTTAAAGCGGCCCATACACGCACAATATCTTTGACAATAATATTCATGCAATATTATTGTCAGGAAATTCTGTTGGCCACCAACGGCACAATAATATTGTGCAATATCGTCTTTTGTGCTCTGATGGTGAAGGTGAACAGACGGATCTGCACAATGAGACAATGAGTGGGCAATGAGAACCTTCAATTAATATCTACTGGGTTTTGATTCCGTCAGAATATTGCGCAAGTCAAAATGTTTGCATGCATGCTTTCCTTCTGTACCCACCGCATCCTCCGATAGTGTTTGCGTGTGCTGCTGCATTTGTAGTTTCCATGGGAGTGGAACTACGCATACACGGCGGCAACGGCAGTGGGCGCGCGTGCGTGCGTGCGTGCGTGCGTGCGTGCGTGCGTGCGTACGTGCCTTCCGTAGATGTAGATGTAGAGGTAGACCAGACAGAACACAGGTCAGCAGGCGTCTCCGCAGGCTCCGTCTAAAACTACGGTTTCCATTAATTGCATCACGCGTCGTTACGAGGTGAAAGTTGCAGACGAAGCCGTGACGTCATCATTCAGTGACGTACGAATTCACTGACAGGGATTCAATGACGTAGGTCTTCCGTTACGTAAGTTATCAGTGACGTAGTGATTCAGTGACGTAGGGATTTGGTGACGAAGGGATTTTGTGCCGTACGGGTTCAGTGACGTAGGTATTCAGTGACGTTGGCATTCAGTGACGTAGGCATTCACTACCCTTTCAGTGACGTAGACATTCTGTGACGTAGGCATTCACTGACGTAAGGAATCAGTGACGTAGGGAAGCATTACGTGACAGGCGGCGACCGGGTGAACAATGGCTGCTGCTGGCTTGCTTGTACAGCCGCCACCGCCGCAGCAGCTATAATCGATAAAGCGTCAATTACAACACTCGCAGAAGTTAATGCAGGCCGACGGCAGCAGCAGCAAAAGATGTCAGCGGTTTTTTTTTTCTCTGGGATGTATGTAGGCCTATGTAGTATATGTAAATATACCTCGCCTAGCCATGATGCGCGCGTAGCCAGCCTACTATACATAGCTACTAGCCAGCCTATACGAGCCTTGCTGGGAGCGGCGGTACATATTGGTGTGGGGGTGGCACGATGGTAGAAAGATAAAGCTAGTGGTTTATTTAGCTAGCTGCTGCTGCTGCTGCTACTACTGTTGCTGCTGCTGCTGCTGCTGCTGCTGCTACTACTGTTGCTGCTGCTGCTGCTGCTGCTGCTGCTGCTGCTGCTGCTACTACTACTACTGCTGCTGCTACTGCTGCTGCTACTGCTGCTGCTGCTATTGCTACTGCTGCTACTGCTGCTGCTACTGCTGCTGCTGCTGACAGTTGGTGGATGATGGACGATGATGATGACTGTCACGTATGTGGGAAACGTGTCACTTTGTCGCGATGCCGAGGACGGCGTAGTGGCGTATGTGTGTGTGCGCGTGTGTTTGAACAGGGGCTAACAGCTGTCGTGTGTTTTTACAGCGTTGTTCTGTGTGTGCGTGCGTGCGTGTGTGTGCGTGTAGGCAGGCGGGCGGGCGGGAGAGAGAGAAACAGAGAAAGAAAGAGAGGGAGAGAGATGAAAGAAACAAAGAGGGAGGGAGAGAAAAAGGAAGCAGCAAAGAGGAGGGAGGGAGACAGACAGGCAGAGCCACAGAGAGCAAAACGACAATAAAGGGACAAGAGAGAATAGCTCATCTACATACATGTCAGCTTCAATATTTACTACTTGGAGTCTGCGTGCGTGCGTGTGCGTGCGTGCGTGTGCGTGGGTGCGTGTGCGTGCGTGTGGGTGCATGGGCGTGCGTGGGTGCGTGCGTGTGCGTGCGTTCGTGTGCGTGTGCGCGTGTGCGTGGGTGCGTGTGCTTGCGTGCGCGTGTGTGCGTGGGTGCGTGTGCGTGTGGGTGTGGGAGGGTGAGTTGGCGGAGGTCGTTGTTCGTTGTTACGCTGTATCTACCTCGCTAGTTCTATGCCTCCGCTCACCGCACTTCTCCGCATGCATACATATCAAGAGTACATAATAGAGATGTATGTCTATTATGTACTCTTGATACATATATATATATATACATATATATATATATATACACGCACGCATACCCTGGTGTTTGTGGGTGTCCTTCGCGATTTGGCGCCGCGAGCAGCGTTCGCTCGGTTTCACTCTCGCTCGTCCGTCCCCGCCGCTGTCGGGGCACAAAAGCAAAAGTGTTCGCTGTGGCCCACATGCCCACCGATGCGGACCCGCCGCCGCTGCAGCAGTAGCAACGAGGCTCTGACCCTTAATTCACTTTCTATTCTGCCGCGTGTACGGGGGCCTTGGTGTAGAGAGAGAGATAGAGTATAGGTGTGTGTGTTATATAGGCAGGTTGCTGCTGTGGGTGTGTGTATACGTACAGTAGTGTTCGTGCTAGGCAGTCGCCGCAGCGGAATCCGGGTCAACCGTCTCTCTCCGCCTCTCCCTCTCTCTCGCGTGTGTTAGAGAGTAGAGTTGCTTCACGATTGACTGACTGACTGCCCGACTCCCCGCATCAGCGTCATCACCAGCAATAGCAGCAGCAGCAGCAGCATCATCAGCAGCAGCAGCATCAGCAGCAGCAGCAGCATCATCATCAGCAGCAGCAGCAGCATCATCATCATCAGCAGCAATCCCTTGTGCTTGCTGCCGTCGCCGCTGTCGTCGTACGGTGGTGTTGTTACTACGACACGCTGTCAGCAAAGACTGCAGCTTCTTCTGCCGATAAAAGTGTGACTACGGCAGCATCTGTGTCTTCTTCTTGTCTGTTTCCCCAGTGAGTAGCATCACCACGCCACGCGCGCACGCAATTCCCCGCGTATAATAACTCTGATTGCTTGATCGGCCGACTGGGAGTTGTGATCGTCGCAAGTGAACACGTAAGTTGAGTTGGTTTTGATGCTCGGCCATGTAAGCTTATGTCAGGATCCCTCCCTCCCTGTCTCGTGCCCCAGTCCTGCGTCGTTCGTCACATATTTGTCGTTGTAGACAGTTGTCGCTGTCATGTCCTTCCGCGGGGGGGGGGATAAAACAACGTCGGGGAGCGTGTTTAATGACGTGTATAGTGTCGCACGCTGTCTCTCCGCGTGTGCCGTCACACAGACAACACAAGACAACACATGACAACATATGACAACACAGGCCAACACAGGCCAACAAAGGACAACATATGACAACATATGTCACACAGACAGCACGGGGGTGAGGGGGGGGGAACACCTGGGCGAAGCAACAGCGGGAGAGTTGGGTGAAGCCGTAAGACCGCATGATGTTCATGTTATGTAAGCGTGTCTGTGCGGTGGTTGAGCAACAGACACCACGGGTGGGGGTGGGGGTGGGGGTGAACCTGGGCGAAGCAGTTACAGTAGTAGAAGCATTCCTGCAAGCGTGTCTGTGCGGTGGCCGCTGTGGTGGCGGCGGCGTGCACATCACGTGCACGCGTGTGTCGCATGGCGGGATCGCTGATATTTTCATCGGCGGACGGGTGTTGTCACCCGTGGTGTAATCTGGGTTGTCACCAATCGTTTAGTCTATGTTGTCACCCATAGTGTCATCTGGGTTTGCAGCCATGTTGTCACCCGTGTTGTCATCCACATCGTTACCTAATTCAGTGTCAGGGTGTCGCGGTGAGCATCGCCATGCGAGCGTGACTATATGTAAGGTTGACAAGGGGTTGTGAATGTCAGGCCGTGACAGTAGTCTCCTCGTCGGTCGCCAATGTGCGCGTGTGCGGCCATCACCGACCCCCCCCCCCTAGCTATAGCTGTAGATGTAGATGTGTGTGCGTGCATTCTCTCACACAGGAGATGTAAGCGTG